TATATATATATATATATATATATATATATATGGATATATGTAACAAACCATAATAATATGTGACAAAAACAATGAATGAAAGATGTCAGATGACAATGGCTATCTTTTTAAAGGAAACGGTCTTTTTTAAATTGTCTTTTTAAAACAACACCCCAAACAAACAAGCAAATAAGCAAACACAAAAATAAACAAACTAGCACATAAACAACAAAAACAAATCCAGAACAAACAAAGCAAATTCTACTAAAGGGATAACAACAACAAAAAGAACAATCACAAAATGACAATAACAAAAAACAACAACAACGAAAACAAAAACAAAAAAACCCAGAATAGACAATCTTATTTAAAACTCACTTGATCTAATATGCTACTTGCTTTATTTCGTGAGTCATAGTACAAATTTAAATCTTTTTAGCTTTTAAGTGCAGAAAAAAGACACAAAAAAGGGATAAAAGTACCAACCAACAGGGTTCATCAACAGCTCGTCTTTCTCTTTTCTGAAGAAGTGCCATAGGAAACAATCTTATCATAATCATCATGAAGCATGCGGCTCGTTCGGATCACTGGTTATTATTAGGTGAAGGCAAAGAATGAAAGCTAAAACCAACTTGTGTTTGATTTTGACTTAAGAGAAGCACATCGACACAATAACGGTCTTATAGTACATGTACAGAGAAGAAGCAAGACATAAACAGAAACAACAGAGGGAAAGAAAAGAAGTCGGGCCTACCTGTGATTCCCTCCAGCCTCCCATAATATCAACCCAATAGCCTATAAATACACCCCCCCCCCTCTACAAAAAATAAATTTCTCCCAAAACTAACAAAGAAACAAACAAACAAATAAACAAATGAACAAATTAACCCCAAAACCAAACCAAACCGAACAAACAAACAACAACACAAGAATAAAAAATTTGGTCAGTCTATAAAATCATGTCAGTAAATGAATAATAAGAAATCACAACGATATTTAAGTCCCCCCCCCCACATGTGCACATATACACATATTTATACACAAATAATAAATAAAGCCTACAAGGGCAAACTCTAAGTCCCCCCCCCTCCCCCACATATACACATATTTATACACAAATAATAAATAAAGCCTACAAGGGCAAACTCTAAGTCCCCCCCTCCCCCACATATACACATATTTATACACAAATGATAAATAAAGCCTACAAGGGCAAACTCTATTGGTCACACGAAAAGATTAATTGAGGACTAGTGTCTTTCTTTTACTTGTTCACAGGGACTGCGTCGTTTCGTTTCCCCGAAAAACAGTTGAAAAATGCTATCAGTGCGTGTTTACAGCCGAGTTTGCTGCAAGTGGTACTGATGAACGAAATGGAAGAAGCTAAACAAATGATCAAGACTAGAGCAAAAATAGAAATTGGGGCTAAAAAGGAGAAGACGGTTTCGTTGAGGACATACATTTTGACAGACATTGTGCCCTTGAGAAAAAAACGAAAGTTGGATCGCGTAATAACATGTGCACTCAGTCTTTTTTCGCGTTTTCCTTTCTATGTTTGACAAAACTATTCAGAGACGTGATATGATGAACCCATTGCGTTTAGATACCTGGAGTGCAATGAATGTGGAGAAAAGATCATCAATGGCGCTCATTAGTCGAGACTAAAAGACTCTTCGATGTGGTGAATGATGTCTAGAAAATATCAAAGAATGGCTGAGAAGCTTTAATGAATGTTCCTTGATTTCTCATGGAAGCGAAAAACATGGAAAGCCGACGAAAGCTGAGAGATTGGGCTGTTCTCATTACTGACTATCCATAGAACAAATAAGTCACTCATTGCTCATAAGGAAGATAATCATCGAAATAATGATTCTTGCTCAGAGCAGAGGAGAATTAATAGCTGGAAAAAATTCTGGAATCTTAGATTTTCAAGAAGATGCCTTTCATAAATTGTTTGTAATCTTAGAGAAAAACACACTTTATTTGTTGCCCTTATTTAAAAAAAATCTTGGAGAGCTCAACACTATGCCACTGTTAAAAGAACTCGCTCACCCGAAGGCAAAACGATCCCCCCCCCTCCTCAGATCCATAATACGGGTTGTCCTTTGATTCAACTGTTCCCTACCCGAGGAAATACTCTGACAAAAAAACAAACAAACAACAACACACAACAAACAAACGAACAAACAAAAGCACGAAAGAACGACCGAACGAACAAACAAAGTGCGAAAAAGCAAAACATAACTACCCCCCCCCCTCAATAAAAGATAATAATTTCATATTAAAAAACCAAAAAAACAACCAAAAACTCCAGAAACATTCTAGTGTGTATAAATAAAGAAAACAGTTTTACTTTTAACAGTTTTTGTTCGATGGCTTAGCTCGGGAACTAGATTCTATTCTATCTGGCCTTTTTGCGAGAAAGTCTTTTGATTGCCATGTTTAGTTCGTACTCCCCCCCTCCTCCTCCCCCCCTCCCCAACCTGATACCCCATTAAGATGCCTAATCAAAGCAGATGGCATTACTAAGTCTTGTACTGGATAAAGCATTATATAAATTATATATAAGTATATGTATATTCATCTATATAATATATAATGTACATATGAAAATATTCTTTCACATTTCTTTCTCTTAGTGGAAAAGTTCTCAAGACCTGTCAGTGAATTCTCCCCTCGGGAATTTTTTAATATTTCATCGAATGAACCATCAGTGGAGACTCCCGATGCTGGAGGGGTTGGGAATACCCCACGCTGGTACAAGCTCCAGTCCTCTTGTCATTGGAAACGACGACCCAGGCCACCTCTCTGCGAAGGATCGACTTCGGATGGAACCTTTCGACAGTTCTATTTCCGTCACTGGAATTTTCAGTGGCAAGACCAAGGCAAATATATCGACAAAACAGGAGAGCTCTTGTCAGCCCCGGGAAGCGAGGACACCCGAGGGGCCAAAGTATGGCGGGACCTTCAGGGGGAGATCCATATGAGAGTGTGAGGCATCGTGGGGAAATCAGGCGCTCGTCAAAATTATGAAATCGAAGATATCAGCATTTTTTCGCAGGTTGGGCAATTTTATCGAATTTTAGTGTTTTTGGGGTGTTTTTTTCTTCTTTTTTTTTGGCTCAACGCCCTTCACGCCCATTTAAGGACACATATCGGTGTGGTATTTACTGAAAAACGCTGATCAAATGGGCAACAAATGTACAATTGCAGTTTCCAAAGACGCTCAAGCTTTGGAAGTCACCAAACTTTGGCAGCCATTTTCTCGCTACTATTACCCCTGACACCAGGCGACCCCCACCTCCTTCAATCGCAAACATCTCGACTTCTATTCAACATAGTTAGATATCCCCCCCCCCAAAAAAAAAGCGAATGAACAGGTTTTAAGATGATACCACTAACCCCATAAGCCCGAAAAAAGACGAGCGCCTGATTCCACCGTGTCGTGACACATATACACCACACGACTCCAGGACGAAACCCCCCCCCCACACACACACCTTTTCCACGTTGCAGTCGGTTCTGGTTTACTCCTGTCGTTTTGATGATGTTTCGGTATCGTTTCTAGTTCAAGGTTCTTTCAAGTAACCGCTACACCTTTCACTTATACTGTTTTTGCCATTGGTTTCCATGTTTGTTTGTTTGTTGGTATTTTTTTTTTGGGGGGGGGGGTATTTTGATCTCTCTTTATCCAATTTTCAATGTAAAAGTTAAAAAAAAATATTCGTCAATTCCAGTGTCTTCTCAAGGCAGAGGATTCAATTTGGAATTAAAGATTTTTACAATAATCATGTTTCATATCGGTGTTATTTATTTCTGTTTCGCATCGTTTCGTCTGCTATTGTATTTTCCGCCGAAACATCGATTGTCGTTCAAAGGACCACACCAGATTGCCAGTTCACACCCAGGCGCTCTCTGCCATTTCGCTGGCAGCATTGGGCACCCAGGTCCTATCTCTGGGGACGCTGTGTTCTGTTCTTAATTATTCCTATCAACTATATTGGAAGTAATTACTGTTCAACCAAACTCTCTGATCTGTTCTGTCATTCAATGGCTACTCAGAATAGAGCAACTGCATAAGGTCATATGAGCGCCGGAAGATTAGAGGCGTTACAAGAGAGTAACAAACACAAAAAAGAGGAATGGGAGATAAGGACGATAGATGTTTCATAGGAAAGAAGAAGCAAACCACACCAGAGCACCCGCCACCCACCCACACATGTTGCTTTGCACATCCATCGACTAATGATATATCCTTTAGAAGGCCGGCTGTTTTGACTTTCGACCACGAAGAGCCAAATGTACTATCCGGGCGGAGAGACGGAATACCCCATAAAAGAGACTTCCTCATGTGAGAATCGAGCTCTAGGCCTTTGCTTGGAAGGGCAAAAGGCCTAACCATTGCACAGAGGCGCGCATGTCCTAACTCTCTCACACACACACACACTCACACACACACACACACACACACTCACCCACACACACGCACACACACATACACACACACACACGCGCACACACGCACACTCACACACACACACACGCATACTCACACACACACACACACACACTCACACACACACACGCACACGCACACACATTCATAGAGCACCGTTTTCCAGTATGGCAATGAGCGAACCAGCAAGATCCCCCCCACCCCCCACCCACCTGGGGTCCAGTCTGTCATTCAATGTGTTCAAAGTGCCTCTCCATAGATCTACATTATTTAAAAGCCAAAAAATTTTGTTTAAAAAATGGAGTTACTACAAAATGGCCCTAAGCTTTGGAACAGTAAGCTATCTCTTAGCTGAGATGACATTTTCAAGGAAAGACGAGTAAAATACATTGGAATTCACCATCTTCTAGTAGCTTCTTTGATTTATCGTTGCCTACGTCTTTTCTGAATGTGTATATTTTAAAAAAGTTCTTTTCCACTGCGCTAAACTCACTAAACGGCCTTGCCAGTGTATTTTTCTCCACTCAAAAGAAATAACTCAGACTTCAGTTTGTAATCTGAGTGACGTACCACTGCTGCTGACCCTCGGTGCACTGTTTCCTGGCATGCCGATAATACATTTAATCTCTTCTATAATTAATAAAAAGGCTGGGGGTACCCTTTAAACTCCATTTCAAAGGGACGTTTTCTAATGACCCTTTTCACTCCAACATCGCCCGGGTACTCAGCTGGCTGTCAGTGCAAGCCGTTACTTCTGGCTGCTGTGAGTGGGTGGTCGAATAAGACCATCGCTTCGGCGGTAAGAGCCTTTACCCCCTGATCTGATTTACGGATTTGCCAGTCCACACGTTGTTATTTCCCACGGTCGTTTTAAACCGGACACCATGTTGTGTTCTTACCGAGACGTTCATTGGTGTTTTGGACTAGTTTTTCATTTGACTGCAATCACAGAAGTTGACTGGAAATGGTAAAATATAGTCCATTCCCGATATTTCCCATCAGTTCGAAGCAATGTCCTTCTTAACGGTCTAAATCAATCTAAATCGGGTTATTGAGGCTAGTAGTTGGACAACCTTGATAAAGGAGGAGAGTCGTGTTAGAGGGAGTCATGTTACCAACGACCTTTTCAGGGAGGGCACTCGTCAGCCGGGAGAGGAGATTAGTCCAGCAAAGCCCCCTCATAAGCTGAGACCCCTCAGCTTTACGCAGAAAGACACAACATCATATCTCACCCCAACCTCCATTTAAGCCAATGTCGATAAAACTTCTTCAAGGCAAGTGGGAACTCTTTACACCGTCAGGGGGTGCTTCTACTTCTATCAGAGGAGCGCACACATATGTGAGGCAGCGTGGTGGAATCAGGCTCTCGCCAAAATAATCAAAGTGAAGAAACTTGCATTTTCCCGCAGGTTTGTGAATTTTAATGAAATTTTGTTTTTTGGTCTCACCACCTCTCATACCCATTAAAGAACTCATTTTTGAGGGATTTTTCTGAAAAACGTTGCTTAAAGGCACCCAAAAATGTAAATTTTCAGCTACCGCGGACTCTCAAGCTAAAGAAATAACTAATCTTTGGGCGGTCATTTCTCCCTAATTTTACCTCTGAAAACTGGTGACCCCCATCCCTTTCATTCGCAAATATTTCAACTTGTATTTAAGATAAATGGATATTTTTTCATCCAAATAAAGACAAGTGAACAAGCTTTAAGATGATACCAATAACTCAACATGCCAAAAAATCGACGAGAGCCTGATTCCACCACGCTGCCTCACATATTGCAATACTGCTCTTACCCGCGTGGTCATATTATCGAAAACATATTGAATGAAGTCTCAAATCTAATGCGCACCCCCCCCCCCCAACAAAAACAACAACCAAAAAACAACAAATAATTATGTCTTTCGAAGATTTGAAATTGTCTTCCTAGTAACCGATCATTCGATCGAATTCCTAACACTTTTAGAAATAAAAACTGGTTTCTAGAACTTGCCATGTTCGCGGGCACACGCGCAGTATTATAAGTAGTGTCCTTCTCTACATTTACATTTACTCCGTGGTGACAGATCGTTCTTGAAATAGCATCTACTTTTATCATTAAAATCTTGAATATTTCGAAAAAGTCCCCCCCCCCCACACTTTTCCCCTACCAAGCCGAGTTCTTTATGTCTTTGGATTCAAGGTATCACGCTCTTCAAAATATGCTATATCAAAATTACAGATGAAACGAATTAATTTGTGAGGCAGCGTGGTGGAATCAGGCTCTTGTCAAAATAATCAAAGTTAAGAAACTTGCATTTTGCCGCAGGTTTGTGAACTTTAATAAAATTTTTGTTTTTTGACTCAACACCTTTCATGCCCATTAAAGAACTCATTTCTGTGTGGATTTTTCTGAAAAACGCTGATTAAAGGCACAGAAAATGAAAAAAATTTCAGTTACCACGGACTCTTAAGCTAAGGAAATAACTTATCTTTGGCGGCCATTTTCTCATTAATTTTACCTCTGAAAACAGGCGACCCCCACCTCCTTCATTCGCAAATATCTCGACTTGTATTCAAGATAAATGGATGTTTTTTCATCCAAATAAAGACAAGTGAACAAGCTTTAAGATGATACCAATAACTCTACACGCCCAAAAATTGACGAGAGCCTGATTCCACCACGCTGCCTCACATTTGTTCGAGCCACACAGTCACAACCTACCACCCACATCACATACTCAGTAACCCTCGTCCCCTCCCCCGCATATATCATTACAGTAGACAACTGTTGCAGCCTTCCCACGTCAAAGTCGGTCTACGTGCCAAGATTAGGCAAATGTATTGAGAAAGTAGGTGTTCGCCAATTTAACTGCTAATCAGAGTGGTAATTAATCAAGCTTAACTTTGAACTGAACCGAAGTTTTCTGACTTGACCCGATAAGGGTAACACAGATTTGGAGCATGCTGTTAGGCATGCTTTTTTAAACCATCAATATATTTTCTGGGAACTGCATGCACGTAAAAGAAACTAGAAATTAGTTTTTCAGGCTGTGCTATTGCATATTTAAGGAGTTTTTCATCCAACCTTCATGAAATTTTCACAAAATAAAGAGAAGATGTAATACTAAACATTTGTCTGTTGAATTTTTGATATATGGAATAGTTTTTGTTAGTGGTGTCTGGAGTGTGGATTTTCACGGGTTTTTTGAAACTTGAATGCTACCTCAGGAAAAAATTCCCTAAAAATTTACTAATTCGTTTAGGAAAAAAACAACAGATACATTTTCGATATAGTGTTGTTAGCGCGCGTGCAAAAAGACCCAATCAATTTCCATTGGTAATAAGTGTGGTATTCAATACGTAAGACATGTCAACCAAATCCAATATGGCCGCCGTATCCATGGAAACGAAACTGTTTTTCAAATTTGATTGCGGATTTTAAGACTCCTTACTATGCTTGTTATATGTGTGAAATTTGATAAAATTTGGTCAAGTAATCAGCGAGATAGCCTTCAGG